TAGTGGTTCTGATAGCTCTGATCAAGAGGAATCCGAATCTATCGTCAGAATTTCTATAGCATAAAGTAGTGCAAAACTACGTCAGTTATAAAGAATAAAGTACCTTAGAAAACGGTTCCGGAGAGTTTTGGTATTTGGGCTACAGCTCTTCAACAAGACGTCCTATAACTTTTGTCCAAGCATGAAAAAGTCTTAGAATTGTTTATTACACAAGCTCTGAAAGTTTCAAACAATTTGGTGAATGTTGTGTATTTTTGTCACAAGTACGATGGAAATAGCCCGTATTTGATATACTAGAAAGAAACGTGTACAAACACGCTCGAAAATATGATTGCGCCGGAAAGCATTAAATGTTTTTCAGAAACTTGTTAATTGACACGCACATTATTTCTTTTTCCGACTGCGTTTTAAAACGTTATAATTTTTTCCCGGAAAAAAACTTGTTCATCATCATAATTATATTCTCCTTGTTGGAAGAATTTTTTGTACTCATTTCTGCATCCACCTTCCAGAAAAACACTTATTTATTCGCATCCTCCGATTCTTTCGCGGAAAAAAAGCTGTCTATCATCGTTCTTACATTCTCAATATTGGAAAAAATATTTTTTGCTCTTATTGTTACATTTTTGTTTAGAGAAAAACTCATTCATTCTCTTCCTTAAATTCTTTCCCGGAAAAAAGCTGTCTGTCATCGCTCTTATACTCAATATCAGAAGAAATATTTTTTGTCCTCATCGTTACATTTTTTTTCAGAGAAAAAACGTATTTATTCTCGTCTTTAGACTCTTTCTCGGAAAAAAGTTGTCTGTCATCGTTCTTACACTCAATATCAGAAGAAATATTTTTTTTCTCATCGTTACATTCTTTTTTAGCAAAAAATTATTATCATTCTCGTACAGAGAGAAAAAAATTGATTCATAACTCGGTGGCAAGTAGTAAGTGTGGTGCTATTTTTTTGTCTTTTGGTGGATAGATGTAAAGACTAAAGATGAATTCGAGTAATAGTCGTGCTAGTAAGGGTGAGCAAAACAATCTCATCTTCAAATAACTTAGCATCAGTGTAAAGGAAATAATCTACTTCACTACATTAAATAACTTCCGAAGTTTAGGATTTAGCGCAAGAAATAATGTGATGACAATAATATCTCGACTACATCTCGTAACGTAATGGCGAAAGGAATCATTTCATAATCCTAGTGAATAACCACAACTGAAACTTTACAGACTATGATATTAGTTTCAAATTCTAATAATCACACTAAAACTTTGCAAATGTGATCAACAGAAAACTCGAAAAGTTAGATGGTCCAATACTTCGAGAGTTAAAGTTTCCGTTGAGTGGAACGGTAAAAGAAAGATTCACCAGATGAATACGTAAATACATCGTTAAACAGGTGAAATGTGAAATATCCGAACAGTTGAATCAGTGAATAATTGAGTAGCATATAGATGCTCTTAGCCACTATATTATAAGCAAAGTATTGTTTCACCTTTCTCTCGTTCGTGCCAGTTTTCTCACTTATTAAATCTTGACTATGTCTGTCATTAAGGCTCCCTTCCAAACCCTAGTTTCTATTTTCGCTTCTGAACATCCAATCTTGCTGAAATTTTCAGGAGAGTTGTGTCCCATGATAGATATCTCACAGTAAACATTTCAGCTCAAAATATTGAGTCTACCAAGTTTTGCCTGAAGATTACCGGTCAAAATGGTGGGGTCCGGGTTTCCCAAGTCCTGCTGCTATCTTAAACGCTGGAAAGCTCGGGTTTGTTTTAAAATATCTCAAAGACCTAGCAGTTCAACTTAGCAGAGCCCGAATTTTAATTTTCGCTTTTAATTTTTTTTGTTGAAGTTTATCTTATAGTGTACAGTAATGATAGGGCATGTACTATGATATCATCTTGAGGGTATGGATGTGGATATTCTATTTATTTCAAACCCACGCCGACACTCATCCACAAACACACCCTGATGTATGAGAAATCACTGAAAAAAAGTATTTCATCTAAAGTTATCATAGTAAAAGTCGTCAACTTCACTTCTCAAACTTATTTCACGTTTTTTTCACAATGCGTTTTTTTGCTTTAACACTTTCGTATTTCCCAAATCTCTTCGCCATTTTAAACGCTAGAGAGCTCGGATTGGTTTCAAAATGAAGAGAATGCTTCACTCTAGAACTTATTAGGGCCAAAATTTCAGATTTTTGTTTATTATCTCAAGAGATTATAATGCATGACAGTATATGCCCTATCATTACCGTACACTATAAGATAAACTTCAACAAAAAAAATCAAAAGCGAAAATTAAAATTCGAGCTCTGCTAAGTTAAACTGCTAGGCCTTTGGGATATTTTTAAACAAACCCGAGCTTTCTAGCGTTTAAGATAGCAACAGGATTTGGGAAACCCGGACCCCACCATTTTGACCGGTAATCTTCAGGCAAAACTTGGTAGACTCAATATTTTGAGCTGAAATGTTTACTGTGAGATACCTATCATGGGACACAACTCTCCTGAAAATTTCAGCAAGATTGGATGTTGAAAAGCGAAAATAGAAATTAGAGTTTGGGGGAAGTCTTAAAAATATATAGGTTTTAGATGTATCAAACTATTAGTATTAGTGATACATGCTAACTATAGTCACCACTGTGAAAAATCAGCAGTTTTGAGAAAATGTTATTTTGTAGTTTAGGGTGTCTCAGAAAAACCGATTTATTGCCGTGAAAGCTCATCATAAACCCAACAACCTATAGTGCGTTTGATAGCCAACACTTTGCTCTATCTGATAAGCTATAAATCAAAAAATCAAAAAATTTGCCGAAAACTGACATTTCAGGGCGGGGGAGCCTTAACTATAGACTTATTGTTTAAAACCTCTCCGAGATGACATTTATTTAGCAAAATCAAGAACTAGGTTAATAGAAAAATAATAGGACTTTATTGCACTAACTCTATCAGCTATGATCAGTTTCTCTACAATGAGTAAAACACAGATGAAAGTATGTAAAAAGTACGTAAGTGAAGTAAGCAGCCGATTCGAGTATTTCCACCGGCGATTCGCCTGTGATGGGTTCCAGACGAGTGCCAAGCACAACTCAACGAGCTCTATCGAATGGTGTGCTCAGAGTTTTCGTAGCTCAAAGTAAAACTTTTTCGATTTTAGTGGAGCCATCTTAGGTCAAAAAATTATATTTTGAGTTACGAAAAATCGGAGCACACCGTTCGATAGAGCTCGTTGAGTTATGCTTGGAACTCGTCTGGAACGCATCACAGGCGAATCACTGGTGGAAATGCTCGAATCGGCTGCTTACTTCACTTACGTGTAAAAAGTTGCATATATTGTAAATTTTTTTGAATTCTACTTTTTGGAAAATCGATCTTAAATAAGCTCAAGCATTTTATAAGGTTATGATATATTCAGTGACTTTCTATAAATTGGAAAATAAAGCATTTTCCAATTTATAGAAATCAAGTTTGATTTTCGAGAAGATTTAATTTCTAAAAAGTAGAAAATAAACAGTGATTGCGAACAAAATTCAAAATCGACTCCGATTTAGAGGAATCAATCCATTATATGCGACATATCATCTCGAGAGTGGAAGTATGGATGTGGGCGTCGGTGTAGTTGGATGTGGGCAGGAGCGAGTATGGATGTATGATAATACAATATCCATCCATGCCCACACCCACCCACATCTCTACCCACACACCCATACCCACACCACACACACATACACCCTCACCCACACCCTTCTTTAAAACCAGTTTTGATATTTTTAGTAATTGTATTTTGGATATTTTGTCAGAGTTCGTCTCATATATATTTTAGATATTGTGAACAGAACTACTATACGAAAGTACCGCATTAGCGTACGTACTTCGCAAATACGAAATGGCATCGGTTTTAAGAAAAATTATTAATTTAGTCAATCCTCATAAAGATGTGTCAACCTATGCGATAAATATGCAAAAGATTCTTTATTGTGACAAAATAGGACAGGAATATTTTGATTCGATTTATGATTGGTTCTCGACTTATGATCAATATATTTTGCAGAGCGGAGATAGAACATTTTCTGCTGATATCAAATTCATAATTCGATGTGCTATAGAAATTCTAAAAAATCCTGAATATTCGTATTTGAATTCTCAATGTATCGATAGTTACCTTTACTTTCTTCGTCAAATTATTGAATATGCTAAACAACGACGTGAATCGTTTAATCGAATAAATGAATTTCGAGGGATTTTATTAGAATACCTGGGACATGAATTCAAATCGTCTAAAGGTGCAAGTTTTAGTCTTTGTTTAAAAGACAAAGAGACAATAAAGAAACTTGACATAACGGAACACATTCAGTTTATAGATATTGGTTGCATAGAGACATTACCGGAGTTGTTTGCAATGTGTAAGATAGCTTTTCAATTATGTGAATTTGTTGGTGAGCCCAATTATTTAAATTGGAAATATATACTTATGATGATTAAACAATGGAAATTATCACTATCAAACTTTGTCTGGCAGTATACTATATATCAAGAATCATTTGCATCATATCCTCTTGATGCATCAGCATTTGTCTACCTTATGCAGACGTTGTATCCTTCAAAATTGAGTCAACCGGTGTCATTTGAACCGTTTCGTGACATGCTTAGTAAATTAAAATTAGATTACCGCGTATTCTTTCATGAATATCATGTTTTATTTGAGGAAAACGTGAAACGGACGTTTTATGAAGAGATATATATTAGTTCTTTGTTACTGGTAATTCGCCAATTCGATGAACTATTGCTTGAATATTTACAAACTTATGTGTCTAATACAGGTTTCTTATTCGTATGGGATATGGTTTTGTATTTCAGCCAAAATCATGATTTGAATGATCAAATGGAAAATCATTTACTAACCATTCTACACATACAGGCTAGAAAAATCTCAATGGTATTATTTGAAAGTTTGCTTCAGAAGACTAAAGAATCTGTTCAAACGATAAAGAACCAAAACCGAAGGCGACTTTCCAAAATATTACAGGGAGTCTTCCATGGGTATCTGTCCAAAAATTTGTATCCTGAACAGCAATTTCATCCACTTTTCGAATGGGTAGCGAAAAAATATATAAGCATTCTAATAGATTTATCGTGGACACTTGACCATAGAAGTGAATCTTGTTTATTCGTTATTAAACATATGATATTTCGTGTGAACGATATTAATAATAATCAATTTGGAAAACTGAAGCGTCTCTTTGGAACAATTAATAGTTTAAATGAAAAGCTATTTATTAAAATAAAACCTGAAAAAATTATTAAGGATGATTGGCTCATCGATTATGATTATCATACGCCATATGATTGGTTGAATTTAAAGCAGCATGATTATCAAAGTCTTTGCGAGATCGGTCAAAATAATAAATGGTCGCTGTACATTTGGTCAAGACTTGTACTTTTATCCATGTCAGGTTTAGATATGAGTCATATATATGAAATTGTTGAAGAACTGAATAAATGGATGGTGAAAATGGAACATGAAAAATATAAAGAGAATGATCCATTAACAACTATTTTTATTAATGGTGTGTTTGAAAATCTTATCTTCACGCAGAGTAAATCGCTGCTATCACTTCCAAATATTCAATCAATGATTCAGTACATTATGGATGCTCGAAATGCTAAATCACCTTGGATAAATACAAAAACAGTAGGCGAATTCGAAGAAACTGTGCAGCAATCTATTCGAACTGTTCTACTTCTAGAAGGTAAATCAATGTACTTGTTTCTTAGATTTTTAGGAATAAGTAATGTCAACAAGTAATTTTGGTGAATTTCATTTTGAGAACGACTTAAATAATAAACCTTACAATTAAAATTTAAGACAAAGTCTCGGAGCATTTTTAACAAAGCTATTCTGAATTCCCAATACATTTATATGACTTTTAGGTTCAAACAATATATATCGTCAACTGATACAACAGTCTATTATATCGTGCTGTCTGAAATTTGTTGACTTAAAAAATATCTTAAGTAGAGTTGATCCTTTACACTACAAATTTCCATTAACAATATCACATATCAATACGATTATGGGCGCACAAAATCCTAATGATATTAATATTTCTGAAATCGAATCAAAAGAAGACTTTTTTATTCGTTTTATAAAACAAGCAAATAACTGGCTAGATTGGTTTGAAAAATTTGTTGATATTTTTTTATATATTATTGAATGGTTAAAAAATCATAAAATGGAAAAAGCTGATGAATTATATCGTGAAATGTGCTTTGCTAGAAGTGATCCTACATTAACTTTTTCTAGAATGAAATCACTTATTCAAGAACTCTTGAAAATTTTCGAATCTTTGAATCACCTACCACGTTTATGTGATTTATTTAATTGTACACAATCATTTGAAATAATTAATCCTGGAACTTTAAGTGCTTCAGATCAATATGGATCTTTTATAACAGAAACAAAACGCTTTCGTCCTAATGATGTTTTTAAAATTCCTGCCAATACTGCTGGTGAAGAACTTCTTTATATCGATGATCGTCGCCATGTTCGTTGGTCATTTGCATGCGAACAAAAGCTCTATGATATTATAGTGGAGTTTCACTTAGAAGGATGCATTGATGAAGTCTTTCGATTACATGAAGCAATAAGTCTTTCTCCAAATCAAGGCGTTCTGAGAGGAGAATTTAAGACACAACGCAGTGGTCACTTAAAAATAAAAGCTACCAATCACAATAAAGAATTTCAACATACATTGTGGTATCAAATGAAAAGTGATCCTCTATCAACATGTCATCTATTTCACGGTATCTTTCATAATCATTATCAAAAGTATTTCAGTTCATCAGATACAATCATTAAAAAAAATGATCTGATCAAATTAATTGAAAAAGTATTTTCGTTCATCGATCATTTATTAGATGGAAGTATAAGTTTAGCTGAAATGGACGAGCTTCGAACAGTTTTTTATGATAAAAATATTAATGTTCGTGCAGAGGTGCAAAAACTATTCGAAAATCAATTAGCTGTCAATCATTCATTATTGCTACTGAACACTACTTCTAAAACCTTGAGTGATGAAAAGACTCAACAAATTTGTAAGTGGGTTCAAACTTATCAATATTATAGTCATGTAAATATTATTATTGATTGTGTACAAAAATTTCATATTCTCTCTACTGAAATTAATGATCAATCGATGCATCATTTACAAAACTTAACTATGGTTAGTGATCGTTTATTAGGAGAAATATCCGATACATATAATGATGTTTATCGTTGGTTTCAAAAATTATCTAACGAACATTTACAATTGATTAAAGCTATGGTAGCATATCCTAATGTTATTGAAGTAGTTAAAAAGTCAAATTTTTATTCTGCTGATGGGTTACATCGATTTCAGGAATTACGAGACAATCTGACTACACAATTTCAATTTCAAGAACGAAATAATATGATTCTTAATAGTTGGATCATTACTTTTACTTTATGCGAGCCTTTTGTTCAAAATGCACGCGATTTAAAAGAATTCATTGATAATGTAGCTCGTTTGAGACTGATAGATGAAAACTCATGTGAACATGTTAAAGGTAAGCGACAATTACTATCTTCTCAAATCATAAATCAAAATGTGTCAAGTTGACTTATTAAGTATTCACAGTTAATGAAGTCATCATGAAAGTCATATAAAGTTTCAAGGCATAGCTTAAAATAATAACGATAAAATTTGAGTTATGTTCGACTCTTATTATTTTTTTTCTAGTTGTGAATCAGAATATTCAAACTATTAATTTATGGTTATCAACTGAAGATTCAACAATGTTAGATAATGCCTTAATTATGATGGAACACTTATATAAAACAGGTATTGTTAATATTGGTCTTCGACGTTTAATTAATGAAGAGTCATATTATAATATTGATTATTACTTTGATAAAACATCTGAACTGATTGCAAAAATCAATGAAAATGACAAAGATCAATTAAAACAACAAGAATCAATCAAATTTACTTTATCTATGTCGGATATTAATGATCACAGACGTCAGTTAACTTTTGGTATATCTGACTTGTTAGATAATATGGCTTATCAAGCGATTTTACTAGAAGAACAATTAAAATTGTTACAAATGGTAGAAAAAGTTTTTTCACTATATCTTAAATTAGAAGCTTCTGGTCATCCAGATTTTCAATGCTTTGAAGAACATTATGAGATCTGTGATCTATATGGTATGATTCAATACCATTATGAATTTTAAACGTTGAATTCTTATTTTAGGTCATATCAAACAAATTTTAACCAATAAAAAGGATCAATTAGATTTAGAATTACAAGAACAACTTAAAGAAATAATTATTGAACGAACTGAACATTTTGAATCAATTTATCATCGATTGACTGGAGATTATGAAAAGTGGATTAAGGATTTAGAAAAATATCGACATGAGAATAAATTATTAACATTATTTTCTAATCGTCAAATAATGATAATGATTATTCTTTTAACTCAATCAATAACAAATAATTCAATTCAACAAATATTTTTCGAAAAAGTAATCAGTGACAAAAATGTTCAAGCACATCAATCAAAATTAGCAATTCAATGTCTAACACATTACGTACAATCATTGAGAATGCAAAATTGTAATTTAACTGATGTATACGAACGGTATAGAATAGATCCTGGCTCAAAAACTGATAAAAGTTTAAACATATTATCGAAATTCCTTAATGAATTATTTAAAAATGGAAAAGAATTATTTCCAGAGAACATTATTTTGACTGAAAATCAACAATATATCATCAAATTGGATTCAAATTTAAACGAAATTGATTCAGATTCATATTGTATTTTATTAAATATTTATCGTGATTATTTACCAGCTAACTATCAAATTCTTTGGTGTTCATCAGCCACTGAAGATGATATTCAATTATTTTTTTTAAGAGTTCAATTATTCCATAATTTAACATTTGTTGTAATGGATATTGATAAAATGCATCATCGTTTGCGTACAATTCTTTGGCAAGAACAAGATTTATTAATTAATCGAGTTGAGCCTCATGGACCTATTTATTATTTTACACGAGAATTAATTACAAATAGAAAAGGTTTAAGACCTTTTTATGTATCACCTATACATCGAGATTCATCAGAAACTCATTTACAATTAATTCGGTTAATGAAAAATAAAAATATAATTTTACCACAAATTGATATTATTTATGGTACTGCTGGAATTGGTAAGATATATTATTTGATTTAATACATATAACATTCTTTTTGTTAGGAAAAACTCATCAAATTCGAAATGAATATAGTGATAATAATCTTTCATGTATTAGTATTAACGATAAGCTTAATTTAACAGCATTAATCAGTTCATTTCTATCAATCGAGTCAAACAATTCCCATTGTGAACCTTTGATTTATCTGAATATTTCTATTCATGCACCATTTGATCAATTAAATCGTGTTTTTTTTCTTTTATTCATATGTGGTTCATTAAATGATATTACTAGTGGTTTAACATTCTCATCATCGTTACAACATCCATGGAAATTTATTATTGAAGTTCCATTTAGTAATACATGTCAAATTACACCAACAAAACATTTTGAACAAATGTTACCAGTACTTTCAATCTTGTCATCAAAAACTTTAACAGAAGTGACATATGAAAATTATCAATTATTTATTGGAGAAGAAGAAGAATTAGTAGCACGATTTCTCAAAGCTTATGAAAGTCAAACAATTGATTGTTTATCACAAAAAATGTACGATAGTGACGATGATAAACCAGAAAATGATGAGCCCGTTGATTTTGATCCATTAGTGGATGATGATGAATCACGTCAATATATTTATGAATGTTTGAATCAATATGTATCTGATCTTCCAAGGAATAAAATTTTTCAATTATCTTTTACAAAGTTTTTATATCGGCGTGTTCGATTCTTTACTGGTTATTATTATCGTTATAATTCATCAATACCGAATCTTGGTTCTATAGCGATATCACAAATGATAGAAGAAGCAAAGTATTTAACGCAAGCAGACTTCTCTTCTGATGATTATCATCGTATCTATTTAGTTTATGATCCTTATTTTGCTTTACATCTTCTACATAATGATTGGGATAGTGTTCCATATTCGTTAAAACGAATTTTTAAAGATGGCGATCCAAAGCGTGAAATAATTGAACAGGGAAGAAATTATTATATTGAATGTTTAGCATGGTTAATTGATATAAAGTATGATATTTTTGAAACAATTATGAAAGAAACAAAATTTATCTTAACAGAAAATTTTGCATATAAATTATTTCATATTCATGAAAGAAAATTAACTAAACTACCATTAATTATTGAAGGAGAAACAGGCGTTGGAAAAACTTTTCTTTTAAAATTTTATTCGTCATTATTAAATGCTCATATTTCTCATGGTGACATTAATTCAAATACAACACCAAAAATTCGAGAACGAACAAGTCTTTGGTTACGAAATAAAATTATCATAGATATTATACAACAACACTCAAATTTCTTAAATGTTATCTTGCCTAAACTTGCACCAAAGTTAAATGAATTTGATAACAATCTAAATGAAAATAATATTTATGAAGCAAATTTACCATATTTAATAAATATAGAAGACGATGAACCAGAACGAGATGTTCTTACAGAGATCAAACAATCATTACAAACTTATGAATATGATCATAATCTATTAAAGATTATTTGGAAGACAATAGTAACTGTAGCTGCTACTGTAGATAAAAGTCTAAGTGAGCAACTCATTAAAGCTTTATGTGAGTTTGTAAAATCACAATTGAAAAATTTACCATTAATTGAAGCAAGTTATAAATTAGAAAATTTATTGAAAAATAGCAATGTATTAACTATGGAAAAATCAATTGAAATATTTGATGAATTTTTAGTATATACACAAATAAAATCAGTTTTCTATCGACTTCTTCTGCATCCAGGCATCAATGAAGAAAAACTGGTCGAATTTATATCTCCAATTTGTGAACTAGCTATTCGTGTACAAAATATTGAATTAGTAGTGTTTTTTGATGAAGTAAATACATCATCATGTCTTGGTTTATTTAAAGAAATGTTTATGGATGGTACATTACACGGTAAAATTATACCAAAAAATATTTTTTTTACTGCAGCGATTAATCCATCGAAACCATTAGAAACTATCTCAAATAGTTATGATCAAGAAACTTTTCATGTTCATCGCTCTGATTATCTTGTTCATCAATTACCTGAATCATTAGAAAATCTAAAGATTATATATGGTATTCTTAATCGAAATACATTAGAAGATTATATTATGCAGAAAATAGACACATTTACTATTAGTTCACTTAAAAATCCGTGTCAATCACTACCACTCGAAAAATATGCTCAAGATATGCTGATGCGATCAATTCTAAATGCACAAGATTTCTGTGAAAAACATCTCGGTATAGTATGACTTATTTGATAGTTTATAATAAAGTTATTGTTACCTCAATTGCCTTTTTGTGTTGAATTAATTGAGTGGATATGAACTTTTATTATTTTTGTTAAAAAAAATAGCATCATAATAGTTAACAGAATCTGTATATTTCAGGACGCAATTCTGTATCACAAAGAGAAATTCAACGATGTTTTAATTTAATTGATTTCTTTTGGAAATTGAAATATAATAATGATGATGAACCCGATGCTTCACAATGTATAGCTTTATCATTAGCATTGATCTATTATTTTCGTCTTCCGACTAAGGAAGATAAAAGTCAAAGAAATGACACCACTACGCCATCACGTGAAGATCTTGGAGATGTTCTCGATCGAACTTTACCCGATTTTTGTCGAACAGTTCAAGATGAACTTGAAAATTTTGTTAATACTGAAAACTTTTCCATTCCAGCAGGTGTAGCAGTTAATCAAGCTGTAAGTTAATGATCATTAATTTATTCTCTTAATATTTTAAATAATTTTTAGATTCGTGAACATATTTTTGCTATCGTTGTTAGTGTTGCTACACGAACACCTTTGTGTATTATAGGGGCACCTGGTAAGTTTCATTATTATGCAAGAAAACAATATACAACATAATAATTTATAATACATAGGTCAATCAAAAACTCTTTCATTTCAAATTGTTTTACAAAATTTACAAGGTCCTCAATTATCAACAACATCCTTTTGTCAACGTTTACTAGCATTAGATCCATTCTTTTGTCTCGGATCAAAATATAGTCGATCAGAAGACATTGCATATGTCTTTGATCGAGCTATTAAACGTGAAGAACAATATCAAAAAATTCGAATCGATAGACGATGTGTAAGAAATTTCTCTTTTTCTATTGTCTATATAATGAATCTTCATTACCATTTTAGGTGGTTTTCTTAGATGAAGCTTCTTTGCCTGATGAAAATAAAATGGTATTAAAAGTACTACATCCTTATTTAGATGGATGCCAGGTATCATTCATCGCGATAGCAAATAAATCTTTCGACGCTGCAAATGCGAACCGTATGATATGTGTTTATCGATCTTTACCATCACAAATAGAACAACAAGTATTGGCTTATGGTTGTCTTGGTCTACCATTTGATAAGAAATCATCACACAACAAAAATGATCTCGATAATATTATTATTGGATTATGTGATGGTTATCGAGAGTTACTTCTTAGACAAGATATTCCAAATATATTTCATGATCGAGATTTTATTTATATGTTAAGAGAATTAAGATTTGAATTATCAGCAGCTACATCCACAAATAATGACGAAATAAAATTGAATGGAATTCAGCCGAATGCTTTATTACGTGCATTAGAAGACAATTTCAATGGTATTAATCAGGATCAATTTAAATCATTAATCGACATCTTTTTCAAAGCAGTACAAAACAAATCTTTGAGATTTCGTTTACCAACAGAAAGACCTGGTAAAAAAATTTATCGCGATGTTCCAACTATTCTTCATGAATCTATGAAACTTGATTCGAAACGTCGTCGTCTCTATGGACGTTATAAATTAGTTATTGACGAATCTGAAGATGAAAGTGCTATTCATCTTTTATTACAAGCCGGCATTCTTGATGCAGATCCAAATCGAACGACTGTCTTTCGAATGTCTGATTTTGTTGATGATATTGACAATGAACTAAATGATGTAGAAATTCTTTCCAGTATTAAATTATGTATGGAAATGGGTAAAACTATTTTGATGGTGAATACAAGTCGAATACATGATTCATTATATGATGTTTTTAATCAAAATTTTTCAATTATGGCAACAGGTGATACAAGAAAAATCTTTTCAAAAGTATCTATTGGAGCAAAAACCATCGATGTTGTTGTACATGAAAATTTTCAATGTATAGTACATGTCAAAAGAAATGAACTGCAGACTATTCCTGCTCCATTTCTTAGTCGTTTCCAAAAATATTCATTAAGTATCAATGATTTCTATCGTATTCGGCTGCAAAAACTATCAAAAAACGAACAAGATATATTGAAATATGTCGCCAGTAAGGCACAATCATTTATTGTACATTTTGGACGAGAATATTTCTATAGTTTAAATGACAATACATTATATTCATGTCTCTTATCATTGATTGAGATGAAAAGTGATGGAAAATATTCATTATATCCAATATCTCATCATTATACACAACTGAGTCGTCAAATGAACTCATTCATCGAAATAAATCACTGTGATATACAAAAATCTTTACTTCGTATTGTTCTTATGAAATTAATTCAACTCGTTTCACCAGAGTCAATCATTTTAAAACTACGAACATTTGAAGATAAATTTGCTCAATGGTTATCAAATGTATATTTTCATGAACAAGAACATTTTAACATAGAAAACTTCTTGCAACGTTTAATTTCTAATACATCAGAAACAATAAGAAGCAATGGAACTGTGGATAATGATCGGGATGAACGAAAAGTTTTTTGTCTAACAAAACTAATGATATTTACTCGAACATCATCTTATATTTTGAGTATGAATCAACGCTCTAAACAAAGTTTTATTCGTACGAATTATCGTAATGATCAAGATAATATATTACATGCAGATAGCAAAATTGTGGAGATTTTGAACTTAGTAAGTTTAAAGATCCCATTTTGTGGGTTTGAATATGCGTACTAAACGACAGTAGTAGGGATGTACAGTATCAGTGCACTGAAAACCGAAAAAGTAACACTAACGCTCACTGCACCAATATGGTTGCAACGATACTGACGTTCAGTGAAGCATTAGTGTTTATCAAATTGTGAAATTCTTTAGTATTACTATGTCAGTATAGTCCCTGTTGCAGTGACACCGGGATCGGTGCACATTGTGCATCTCGTTCAGATAGTGCCAGCGTATCACTGTCAGTATTACATTGAAACTGTACTTCCCTGAAAAGTTAGTCCTCCACATCTATCGAACTAAGATAATAATGAATAAAAACCATCGTTTTTATTTTAGAGTATTATTGAAAATTCTAGTCAACTAAAAAATAAATTTGATGAATTTCGAAGTAATCTTCAAAAAATTATCTTTATTATTACTATTAATACTCATTTTGATCAACAACGTCTGCATATTCCATATATTCGACAATTAATCGATAGTACTGAATATGCTTATAACGTGAAAAATGCTCCAAATTATAAATATTTTCTAATGTTAATTCATTCTCCAGCTCAAGATTTATATCATCAATCATGTTTTCCATCAATATTTTTACACAACTGGGATTTTTATTTTTTTGATACCTGTGCTACTGGTAGTGCATTTTATCTACAAAAACTTTTACAATTATTATCACCGAATCATGAATTAGAAGTAGAACAAGATAATACATTTTGTGATCTAAATGTTCTGTTTGAAGATTGTTTGTGGGCATTCTGTTCACGAATTCAAATTTTAGCACCTAAATTACCAAGAACTATGTTTAGAAACACGTATACTTATGAATTTTATCAATGCAATATAAATACCATCCGGAAAGTTAAATGTTTAAGAGAAATTCTAGGAGAATCATCAGAATTACAAAAACTTTTAGTAAACATCTATCATCAACATTTATTAACAACAAAAAACTCTTCAAAGAAAATTTATGATTTTATTTATCAAATTTCTAAAGATATTTTATGTGGAAAACGTTTTGATGGGCTTGTTGAATCAATTCAAATGGAAACTCGACATTCATTTATGAATTTTGTTTTAAATATTTTCAAAATTATTGTTAATAATTATGGATTAGAAACTGTGTATCAGTTATCAAATAATCGGCAAATTTATGGTCCTTTACTTAATTTAATTGATTTTCATTCATTTGTTATTGAAAATGATAATGACAACATGTTTGCTTCTCAAACTAAACAAGATCTTATTCATTTTACTACAAATTATTCATGTATACCTCAAACTCCTCTATTTCATTTATTTCATCAACGTATTAGATCACATGCTAATGTTATCAAATCAAAATATATTCATCATAACCAGACTATACAATCTACAGGTAACTAGAAATTTTTCTGTTGAGGGTGAGGATGCGAATTTTTCTCTAAGTGTAATATTCATGCTCATAAATAGGCGTTTCTATTATGAATGCGAAAGAATGCGAGTCATGGCAATATCATCGATAGTCCTTATGAACACTCCGTTTTTTTAAAATTTATCGAATGTCGACGATTGTTTATTCTTTCTTCCACACCTTTGCCTAATTATACACAGTTTGATACTTCAAGAATTCGAGTGTTGAATAGGCTCAGGATAAGTCCGATCTTTGGAACTATAAAACAGTTCTTTGAACGAGTTCCTCCAAGTTTGGGCCCAGTATCGAACTTTGTAACTTTTATAAATTTTGATATATGCGAAAGAATTTAATATTTATATTTAGAACAAAACCGAAATTCAGAAGATGATAGTTCTAATGATTTTTCCAATATTACCACTACTTCTAATAATCCATACAACGATGATGATATGACTTCTCTAACATTCGAACGTTTTCGATATGAACTTCTTACTTTCATTAAAAACGATAAAATTTTATCTGATAGTATAAATAGTATTACTGTTTATTCGTATTCGAAAGATCTTGTGAGTACATCTTGTGCGATTATTGAAAACAATTTTGATTATGATCCAATTCAATATCAACAAACAGTGGAATTTATTTCACGATGGTTATCACTTAACGATCAGAATGATTGTCAATTAAATACAGATGAAATTGATCAGAATATATGGTTTCTTGTTCATATTTACACAACATTTGAATATGAACAAACTGATCTTCTTTCGATGTATACGGCTTGTCGAATAATGCATCGTTTTCAATCAACACAATCACCATTTATTTATTTATTCTCTAAACAATCAGTCGATCGTTCTGAGCTTCGTGAAATCTTCTTTCGTTCTATTTTTGATCAATTATGGTCAAATCTTTGTCAATTGTCTTCTGATAACAAAGAAAATTATAAAACATGGATTTATACATATACATTTATTTCAAAATATTATCCATCCGAAAAAGTACTACGACGTATGCAACTAATCGAAATTAAATGTCAGATTCAGTTGATGAATTTGATTTATTTGCTATTTCTAAATGAAAAAATTTATGAACCACAAAATTTAGTAACGAATTTATTGGAGAAAATACAATTAAATCCAAGATCCGATTGTTTATTATTATTACCAAAGATTATTGACGTTATTCAAGAACAAAATCTCGATAATTCAACATGGATGATAGATATGCAACAATGGATAATATCCATTTGTAAATCATCACAACAACCATCAGAAGAAACACTACGATTTTTACTTATTTATTTAAATCAATCGACAACTTATCTTTCATTACCAATGAAACAATTTTTATTCGATCAATTGATTGAATTATTATCGAAAACAAAAGACGATAAAGAATCAAAATCAGATTTATGGAATCATTTTAGTATGATTTCAATCCTCATTGAATGCGTATCAAATGTTGATCATTATCAAATTCCGTTTCATCCATTAATTGAAACAAACGATCAATATGAAAAAACACAAGTACTTTTATTTGATCTTTACTTTTTTCATCTCCGTAATCTACTAAAATATCAGAATATCACCATTGCATTCTTAAATAAAGGTATGTTGCTTAAACTATCAAAAATAGATGCAAAAGAAAAGAAAATTATGGCTGAAAATTTATTTGAACAACTGAAGAATTATTTTCTTTCGGTAGTCACAGCTCTGTTGATTATTAATATCGAGTCAGATCAAGCTAATGTCGATGCATTTCTCAATGCATTATCGACCTTAATGCACGATCTTTTCTTTATTGATTCTACAACAGAATATCTTCCTAATTATCTTAAACTTTTTCTTTCAACCATTATATCAAAACGTTCTTGGGATTATTTATTCAACTTTTTACGATCTGAAAAATTACGAATAATTAATAAAGACTGGACAACAACTCTTTATCGATTACTTCAATTAAATGAAACTGACGATCACAATTCGAATTTACAATTATCACATCAAATACAATTTACTTTTTCAATGAATGGAAATAAATCCTCGATCTTTTCTAACCTTCATCAACCTTATGAACAATTACGAACAATGATAAAAACATCTATTCAGAAGTATAATGATGAAAATTCATGGGAAGAATTAATTTCTTGGATGAGAAACCTACTAGACTGTGAACATTCGGAGATTCATAACAATCAATTTAAAGCTATGTTACTCTTAAATATTTATTATGATTATTATTGTACTAATCGATTAGAATCGATACGACCATTGATTAATATTCTTCAAGAATCATCATTTTTTTCTGAAAAGGAATTAAGTGTATTTCGTGCTCTAGTAGATCCTGAACAATACATAATAGGCTATAACTCTCCTGATAACACTAACTCAATAAACAAACTCTTCAATATGAATTGTCAGACTGAATTTGAAGTATCTTTACGTCATGTATTAGTAAATTTAATGGCAATGATTTTATCAAGTGGTGCACGATCATTTCTTTGGACATTTGTGTTTGATCCATTGACTCTAGAAAAGACATACGGTACGTTTCGTTTCATAGGATGAACATTTCAAGTTCTATTATTGTTAACTTACAGGTTTTGGATCGACTTATCAATCAACAATTGAACGGAATGGTCTCCATTATGATTGTGGATGTGTTATTTCTCAGGATGGAGTTTTGGAGCGGCCTCTCAGTACGAGAGATGATCGCGGACTAAGTGTTCCAGCTGTATACGTCGCTTATTTTTCTACATTTGGCGCATTAGTTTGTTGAATTCAATACTTTTTGTCTTCTATTTTTGATCGTGCTGTTTTCTTTTTTTCTTCAAAGGCATGGCATTTACTATTGTGCGATGACTCAGTCGACAATTTGTGTGGTCCAGTCTTATCACCATGGGCAATCAATACCACTGCTGATGAACATCATGAAACTGATCAAAATATGTTGACTAAAATCTGTCATTTTGTCTATGCTAGATTATTATCAACATTTCATTTCTTATCTGTTCAATTAAATCATGACGATGCCTGCCTTCTATTAACTCGTTGTTTTGAACAGATGGCTTATCTCACTAAATGTGAACAGGAATGGATTCAACCAGTGTATACAACATTTAATGAAAAACAAAATGCAGAACAAGAATTTGAGAAAAATGTATTCTATTTTGTATTTAATAAATTAGTCGATTATAAAGCTGATATCAATCAGAGAGTTCTCCAATCACAAATTCAAGTTAATCTTCAAAAATTTACCGATCAAATGCCATTGGTTTTAGACTTTCAACATTTTCAAACAGCACTTCACCATTCAAAAACACGATCCTCATCAGATTTCAGACTTTTACGATTTATTTTGGATTCGTTTAACATTCTAAAAGTGACAAAAATAATTATTCCACTTGCACAATTTTATCTTCTTTTACATCAAACATATATACAATTAATTAAAAGCGATGAATTATTAACACTTTCTTTAAAAGAATTATATGAACGTGCTGAAAAATGTTCTGATCAATTCTATAATTCATTTAATCAGAATGAAAAAGAAAATCATCGAGTCATCATTCAAGATGGTATTGATGCAGTTAATAATTATCATAAATTTGCATATGGACTTATTCAACCAGGTGTTTGTAATCAAACTCAACGATTTGAGAAAATAGATTTTGATACACCAGTTAACTATTTACTGACAACCAATAACTCAGATGAAGGCAATATTATTATGAGAATACTCAGGTAAGAAGATCCATGACGAAAAACAGGTTTTGTTGTATTCGAAAGTTAATTATTGAATCTTTTTCTTTATTTTAGTATTTTAGTTAATTATCATAATCATATTTTGAAATTATTATCAATAGAAATGAATACAAATAAAGGTTATGAAAATAGTATTTTGAAATTTTTAGTAAATGATATAACCTCGAAAGAGATTTCAATTTTACAAGTAGTTAGTTACGGTATTGGTATTATTTTATTAGATGACCAAGATTGTAAATGGATCGAACGACTATGTCAAGCAAGTATTACTAGTGATGAACAATATGCTTTTATTAATGTTAATTCATTATTTACATTTGATTTTGGATATATTCAATCTCAAATTATTCATATATATTTACTCTTCTGTCAAATTAATCATCACCATATTATTCAAACATATCAATGTTATACTGAGCAATTATCAACGAATTTAACGATAACAGATAATGAAAATTTAGACCTAGATGAAAAGTATATGTTACCATTTAATGACGAACAATTAGACTATGAATGGAACTATTTGAAAAGTATATCTTTAGATAATCTTTATCATTCTTACACATTATTAAAACAAATTGCGTCAACATTAAAAACATCTTTGAATGATATAAATCAATCAGATAGTCTTTTTGATTTTCTTCATTTAACTGATCAAGATAATGATATTCTTGAAAGAATACAACACTGTGGAACCAGAGATTTTCCTTTATGTCATTTTAATCACGTTATTAAATTATATGCTCAATCAATAAATGGATTTGAACACTTATTTACTGATATATCACCTTTATTACGTATCCCTATTGATACTCAACTAGATATTGAATTAACTAAACAATTCAATGAACAAATACTACATACGAACAATGATAATAATATTGAAAAATATCAAACAATGAATCAAACAATAACAGAATTTCTTAATGATTTAAAAAACTCAAAAGATTTGATTCTACAACAATCTTCTCAATCTTTTGTAGAAACTTGTCATCATTTATCAATAGATAATCCTATTTTGAAATGGATACCATCAGAAATTCGTTGTGAAAATTATGTACCTTTGAATATTCATTTAATTCGAATACGGTCGATACTTCAAGAAACAAAAGTTAATGTAGAGGAGAAAATGATAATTTTATGGCAAGAGGAGACAGAAATCCAAAGAAACGATATAGATGGAATTTCAGAATCTGAAGAAACAAATGATCAAAGTAACTTATCTTCATTATCTTCATCAAGACAAAATTCAACTAACGAAAAGAATTCACGTTCATCATCATTACATGAGCCAGAAATTTCTGATTTTGAAGAATTTCTTGTATATGATTCATTATTTCAGTTCGATATAAAACTAGTACCATGTTCATCATTTACATTTTTACAACAGTTACATGAGCATCGAACAGAACGTATCACAGAACCTGCAGCTGTAAGCAATGCACCGAAATTTATAGTTACACTTCCAGATGGAAAGCCGATCACAATTATGTGTAAATTAGATAAATGGCAAGCACGTCTAAAAAAGATCTTTGATGATAAACATTATGATTACAATGAATTTGCATTAATTGATGAAAACGAAATATTTGTTGATTTGAATATGGATAATTTTATTTTATTACAAAAATCACCTGCTGAATATCGTATTGTAAAAAAAGAAAGTTTAGTTTCTGTGAAATTTCACTTTCGCTCATCAGAGATCGAATATGTTACAACTACCACAAATCAAATAGGAACGATAATAAAACATTTTATCGATAATATTCAATCAAATAGTATTACTAATGATACATATCTTGGTTTTCGTAATCAATATGGCGAATATATAGAAGATGTTTCTGTAGGAAATCTATATAATAACAATGACAAAAAAGTTGACATTACAGTTATTGAAAAGACATTTGAGAACAATACCTTATGGGAAATAAGTAATATTTGATACTATTTTGATAATTTTCGTATAAATCTTTATTTAGGTTTAAATGAACTAAAAATCTTTTTGGATTTGGAATCAACATGGGAACATGTCGAAAAATGGTTGAAAGATTTTTGTCGAAAAAATGATATTTCGATTAATGATTATGCATTTTTATTGGTAAAAGAACGAATAATATTTAAGAAAACTGAATCAATTGGGTCAACAATAGATACAAAACAATTAAATCTAATTGATGTTATTAATCAACAAACAGTTACTTCTATAACTCTTTCATACGAAAATAAACATGAAAGTTTACAGATTTTAACATCGATGAAAGTCATTCAATTATTGAGAAACAATAATCTTCGAGAGAAATTAGATATAAATGAAAATACATTGAAAAATTTTATGATGATATTAGAAAAAGAAAATGAATGTTTAACTCTTTCTGAAGAGCAAATGCAACAAACAATCGAAACATATTGTTCAACAACGAATAATTTACTTCATTTTCGATTATTTATACCAACAACTATTGTAATAAATTATAATGAAGAGAAGATTTCATTAGTTTTGCAAACACGAAATATTACTATTCGTGAAATATTACAAATGATGGATGAATCAATGATTGTTCGTCGATGCTTAGCTTTGAAAAAAACAAAACGAGTTTTACATGAAAATGAAATTCTTTCAGATTTATCCGAAAATGAATTTTATTTGATTGATAAAAAGGATATATGCCGTGTTTGTATTGGGTTATCAGAAGTAAATATTAATCAATGTTTTACCAATAATGCTACAATTAACGATATGTGTAAAGAACTTAAAATCAATCTTGAAACTCAACATGTAATGTATTCAAATGAAATTATTTTATCATCGGAAATTTCATTAAGTTGTTTTCAATCAGAAACACCAGTTTGTTTTTCTATTACTGAAACAAATTTCCCCATTCGTATTACAGTGAATAACGATCAACAACATAAATCAATTACATTCTATTGCAATTCTTCGATTACTATAGAACGTCTTTGTTCTCTTTGTTGTCATTTGATGTGTGTAATCAAAGATACTGCTGAATTAACATTACCTGATGGAACAACGATCGACAATGAAATTTCTTTAATGGATATTAATGATACAATGACAGAAATAGAGTTACAACTGATCGCTGCACCGTGTTTATCTTGTTCGATTACATGTTCAGATCGCACCATAGTATTACCTTGTCGATCAGATCAATTGATTTCAACACTTGTCAATAATCTGCTCGAACAGCTCTCGATTTCATCTGATCTAATGGAAACATATACATTGTTTGCCTTAGACACAGAAGAAACTGAAATTGATTTCGATATATCAATTGAAGATATAAAAGGATTATTTTCTTCATCATCGTCTTCAATCATTAGCGTTGAACTGAGAAAATGATAATACACAAATATGACGTAAATTTTTTTATATTTTAATCATGCTTTACAAAGACATTTTTTAATTCCTTTATTTGTTTTGATTTTATTATTAATCCCGATTAAATGAAAATAAACCAAACAAAAACTAATAATAACAGAGTATCTGAATATCGAGATCCAGAATAATTTCCAAAGGATGTGGGCGTGGTTGTCAATACTTCATGTATCTCTAACACCCACACGCATCCTATCTATAAGTGAACACTCATGATACATCCTCCCATACTATTAAAGGTTTTTACCGAAAAAAGCTATTTGCAATGTCCTAACATACATTAGTCGATGATGTTGACATCATTCTTCTGAGATCCTTGTTTTTCTTGCTTATTAGTCAAGATTCTTTTGTCGTCCTTTTTGTACTATATTCTTGCCTGTAAAAATAGGTCTTGCTCTTGAGTTTAATACGCCCATAAAAAGTACAAATGTGAAATAGAAAATATTTTATTTTTTAAAGAATTAAAAGTCATATCGGCACTTGAAAGCTATCATAGAGTCAATTGCTTGTTGCCGTTGATTTAGTTGCTAATCCATTCTAAATTAAAAATATCAAAATAGTTTTTTTTAAAGAGTATCTATTCTATTCGAAGTTTCCGAAGAATGACTTATTGATGACTACTCAACTCTTACTCTTAATGAATGAAAGGTATTCAAATATACTTTTATTTCTTATCAATTTTCGACTATCGATAAACATATTTTGTGTTTTTCCGTCAGTGAAAATTACGATAGAAAGATGAGAAAAGTCATATTCAAGGCAAATAAAAATCTTTCTTGTGAAAGGGAACTACTTCAGTCAGTATGAACATAACGAAAAAATGTTATCAAATATATATATATCATCCATTGTGCTTCGAGCGTAATTTCTTTATGATTTCTACGTGGGATAGTTATATCTCGTTAGCAACTTGTTCTTCAAAATTTAAGATGCGAAACATCTGTATAGTTTGTAGTGATAAATCTATTAAGAAAAGTCTCATTGAACTGGATATTCTTTTTAAGACGAAAAAAGTAAAACAAACTAATTCTTTTTAAGGTTTCTCAATTATAAATAAGAAAAAGATTAAAACTATATCTTACCTGATAACTCCATAGTGACATCTAAAAAAGAAGGATTCATGTTAGGAAAGACTAAAGATAATGTTTAATTCATCTTACCCACAACAACACACGCAACAACATAGTCGGCCCATGGGGTTGTTGATGGTGCAAGATCAACCACATCAGGCTAAATGAACGATATCCAGGTCGAGCAATCCGGCGCGGAAACGACCAGTTCCGTGGTGATCCGGAGACTTCATGCAATAATACATCAAGAATCATCGACCTAAATAAGCATGAATTATTTAATTCTAGTTTAAATATATATAAGAATAATTTAGTGTTAAACACGAAACCGAAAATGCATAGGTGAAAAAAAATCAAAATGAACATTTTTTTTTATTCAAAAAAATAGAAAAAGAAAAACGTTTTTTTTGTTCATGTTAAAGGATCTATTCTCTTCTAAATAGTAGTCTCTGGTAAAATTTCAACGTTATGGTCTGAGAAAACTCTTTTTCTGCTAAATTCTGAGAGTACTCACCACTTCGTGATCTGAGTGATCTGACATATCTTAAGGTAAAAAAAACGTTGCCAAGTAACGATATACCAAAGTAGAATAGTAATAAATGATATGAAAGTGAAATGGACAATGGAAGGAATCGAAATTATAGACAGAGAACAGTCTATGACAAATCCATATGCAGACAAAGAATTAAAATTACATCGTACTACTCGTTGTTATCAACTCTTCTTTTAAAACAAGAAAATTTGATATTCAAGATGAAACATCTAATTTTTCTGCAAATGAGTTGATCTTATTTTTTTCTCTTAATCTCTTAAAATTAAGGACATCTATACCGATATTTTCCACACGAGTCAAACATTCAATATATTTGAATTATCATTACCATTAGAACCGATCTTATCACAGAAATTGTTTTTGTGCTTACTTCTTAAACGCATCTTTTTCAATTTGGAACGACTGATGATGAACAAACCTACCTAAGTATGAGTTGCTAATTATTATAGAACTAATTGTGTTCGACGACAAATCTTAGAGAATGATTCAAATTTAGTATGGTTCTTGGAATAAGAGCTAAATCGAAAATGATTTCTTATTTTAAATATTAAATATATAAATCTGATATTTTTATTTAGACAAAAACAAATCAATATACATTGAAAATCATCTCATAACCAAATTTCAATGATTTTTCCATTGTTTTTAATATTGATCATTTGTTCATCTAAATAATTTAGAGAAAAGCTTTGACGACGTTTTCCAATAATATAATGACATGAAAAATGATCATCTAATAATGTATCTGTATCATAATGGATTTTAATATAGGATAGATGTTCTAATTGAGTTAAGAATATATCAATAATAGAAGCAGCATGATCAAATGAAAATACTTGAATTTCAATATTGGTGAGTGATGGAAAACGTTGAACAAATTTTAATGAAAAATTTGAAGGAAAATAAACATTTTCTGTTACTGATGTAATGATTTTAATTTTTTTGAAAATTGGAATTAGAGATGCATTATCAATTATGTTTGGTGAGAGTAATAATGAAGTGTTAACTATAATATTAATTACATTTGGACATGCTCTAAAATCAAACAAAAGCAAAACATTACAATTATTATTTTACTTTTAATAATAACAATAACAACCCAGGATGATGGTTCTTGAAGCAGGATTCCATGAATCTTCGGCAAAAGCACTGAGGAAACTCGCTATTTCTGGGCGGAACCCGGCCGGAAAATGTCACGAACCCGATGGAGAAGTGAGGTAACCATATCCGGTTCCGGTTCAAACGAGATAAATCCGGTCATCGGATCCGTTCCACGGGACTACTACCACCATGAAATCTCCGAAATACCACGGAACCGGCCTTTTCCGTGCCGGATTGTTCGACCTGGTAATTATCATTTAATAGGTGTGCATCGAACTCGAACTGCAGTTCGAGCTGAATAATTCAGTTCGAGTTAATTTTATTTATGTGTAGTCACCTTTGAAACCTTTTACTTTCGGATTCAACACATGTCTCTATTCATAATCTGTAGAAATAAACTTACTGTAGAATATACTGAATATGTTTCCATATAGATATGTGAAACATTGATCGAAATTCTAGTTTAGTAACATTGTATAAAGAGACCATACGTGAAAGACAAGTAACCATTTGTTGCGCATCCTTATCATCATCATGAGCATTAAGTATCTGATGAAAGTTCACTTAAAGAATAAAATAAAATTTGATAACATAAAGAGATATAAGTATTATTCTTACCAATATTAAATAAACTGTTTCACCATGATAAATTTCTTACTGGAGTTGTTACAACAAGATCAGTGATATGTTGAAATAAAGAAGAAGACCAAGTAATATTTTCTCTTTTATTTTGTACAAATATTGTTAAATCCTTTAGATGAGTATAAAAAAGATAATGATTATCTGGTGTTGTTGTTGTCGATCGTGTATCAAATGATGTATAATCAATACCAACAGGATATACAGCTACCATTGATCGACGTTTATGATAATTTAATGTACTTAGCATGACAAATTCTACTAAAATTAAAATAAGAAAATATTTCTTCTCTAATAAAGACTTAATTTCACAATAAAATCTTCAATCTCATTTATTAATTTATCGAATATATTCTATTAAAAATTTAGATGTACTTTGATGTTCATAATCATACATCCATTGATCAATAATCATATGCCAATTAGAATATTTTCCAACAAAATAGTTAAATGAATTAACAATAAAATCTAAAGCCAGTTTAGGTAATGCTCGTATAACTTCCATGTGAAATTCAAATTTAGATAAGTATGGAACATAAAGTTCTAACACTTGTTTCCATACATATCCATTAAATAATTCATCAGGAAATATCCAATGTGGATATTGTATTCTGAGATGGAAATAGAAATGTTTAAGATTAGGCATACATCGTAAGATAGAAATTATTGAACGGCTATCGCCTATATCCATATCAAGAATTGCAAGTTCACAAGAAACCATTTGTGATAACACAGGAAAACCATTATCATTTATTAATGATGCTTCACTAAAATAAAAACGATTCAATTTCTAGAATTTATCTTGTTAATTAACTTACTTGCTAGTATTATTTTATTTTGATTGTTGTAATAATAAACAGAGATATCATATATTATGACAAAGACGAAGAACTGATAAAATTGTATAAATACATGCAGTTGGAGGTGAAATTGAAATATATAATTTAAGTGATATAAGATGTGAAGATACTGACATAGATTTTGAGATATTTAAAAAATTATAAGGATATTGAAGTATAACTGAACGAATAAAAGATGATTTGTGCATTAATCGAATATGAGTAAAATTATTTGTATCATCATTATTTAAATTGTTATTATTTTGGTATAAAGTAAATGAAATAAGTTGATGAATCGATTGCATAAAATATACACGATCTAAGATTAATAAAATTATGTCGATTAAATAATACACTTATTATAGATGAACCATCACGAATTGTATCATAGATTTTTATTGAGATAACTTGTTGATCATGGAAAATAAGGTAAGAAGAAAGAAGATCGATTTGATGACGACAATGTTTTTTTTAAAATAACAATATGAAGTGATATTGATTGTAAAATAGATGAGATTCTTCTGTTTAATAATGAAAAACTAGTAAAAATATCAAGTGCATCAAAATAATCAAATATTTCGAAGAATATTTCATTTGATAAATCTTCGAAGCGTGTATGAGATTCCATTGATATAAACATTTATTACAAAATATACCGATAGAAAATGTGAAATATATAAACCAACGCACAAGAATAGTCTATGAGCAATGCTGACGACAAAGATAAAATAGGGAAATCAAATGATCATCTTAATGAATAAAAGGAGTGTTTCATGTAATGTTTGACAGACATGTTTCACGGAATTCAGCTTTTATTATTCACATTTCCTAGCTCGATTAATGTTACTGCAATTTTAGCGTCATCTGTCTATACGTATTTATTTTTTAAGCAATTAATTCAACTTAACTATATCATTTAATAAGTAAAACAAAAATATTATGTTCTTTTCATCACATCAAAACAAAGGAAAATATCAGTTTCAAATAAATCTATTGATCTTTAGATGTCTTCAAATTGGCAATGTCAATCATTTTATTCTAATACAAAACAAGATGATAAATTAGTGAAATATAATATATGATGATTTTCCAGTTGATTCAATGTATTGTCATTGTCATGGATGTCAAATATTACAAGGTGCACCATATCAATGGACATGTATATTTCCACAAACATTTAAAGAATTTTGTGCATCAGAAACTGCTCGAGAGAAATTAAAACCTTCATGTCATATATTTTATATTCAAAGAACAATTTTAGGCAATTTCTTAAAAGATGATGGTTTACCTAAATATGAAGGACATAAAAATAAATCACCTATAGAATCATATGTAATCTTTAAATATGTAGTTTTTGTTTGAGAATAATTACCTAGAAAACATCAATTGACTATGATTAAGATGGTATATTAAATTAGATGGAATCAAAGTGATCATACGTGATTCGATTGTGATTATTAGGAATTAAACTAAAAGAAAATCGAAAACTCAAGTTAAAAAATGCATACATCATCTTTCGAATAGTCCATAAATAGTAAGAAGTCTTAAACTCTCAAGAAATCACTAGTAACACGATAATAATTATTAAGAAAATATATTTCCATATACTATTACACTTTCATTTAGATAAAAAAAAAGAAAAAAAAACAGATTATGGTCCAACTATATTGGACGGGCTGCCTGCCGCTGTCTATTCACAAGCGCTATCCCACGACTGCACGACATGAGGTCTTTGGCTTGCTCGCTATTCGCGCCTCAGCCGGTTCAACCTTCCTTAGTCGCCCTGGTTAGAGAGATTCCTCAACTCCAACCATGTCGATGCCGAGCTTCGTGCGGACACTCGATCAACATAGAACAACGACAAACAGGACTCCCGCCCGCAAGTCATTCACACAGCCCGACCC